CTCCTGGCCCCTCAGGTCTTCTAACATTGTACAATTTATCTTGCTGCAGCTGGTCTTTTCCTTCTTTCCTCCAACACTTTTCATATACTATGTTTAAAATATTATAATTTAAATATTGTCATTTATACCTTGACTGAGGTATAAATGACACATTGTTGCTTTTCTTGATTATTTATGATATTGTTAAGATATCTTTGGAATTTAGGAGCATTCTTTTATTGGGATTATCAACCAATTAAATTTCCTTTTTTCCCTCTCTATAATAAAGCACAGCTGCTGTAATGTTCCACACTCGAGAGTTATTGCAGCATTTTAATAACTTACTATTCCTGTTCTAAATTTTCCTTATTACCGTGTTTCTCCAAAAGGACGATCCACCTTGAAAAGAAGCCCTATCACATTTTGAGTGCATGTGATCAAATTAAGCCCCACCCACAAAATTAGCCCTAATAAGGACCCCGCCCACCCCAGAGTGCAGGGGATGGGGTGGGGCAAACAGGTAAAAAATAAGCTAGGTTGGGGATGGGGGTGGTGGAGCTGCCCTACTTACCAGGCCTCGCACATCCTGACACCTGCTCTGGCCCATTTCTTCTGGGGCTGCTTGCCCCCACTCACATACATCGCCCCAGAGCTCTGTTATCAGTTGCAGATGCCTTCTGGCAGGCATATGAAGGTGAAACAGAGGCTGGGGTGAGGTGTGCGAGTGGCAGCAAGCGTCTGCAGAAGAAGTGGGCCAGCAATGAACTCCTGCTTGGTAGGGCTGTCGAAGCCTGCCATGAGATGAGTCAATAATTAGAACCCTCCAAAAAGAAGCCCTAGCCATTTTTTCAGGGGTCAAAAGAAAATAAGATCCAGCCTTCTTTTTGGAGAAACACAGTATACAGTATATGGTTTGAAATAAGTCGTCAGAACCATGCTATTCTCAGGATGCATACACCTGAAGACGTCATGAAATTGGCAATTTTATTTATTTCAAAATAATTCCCTGAATTCATGTGAGCCTTTGCAGGAAGCAACTTGGTTCATGCTGGTCAGTTTACCTTCTGAAGCTCCATTTTTGACTCTTTGGGTTCATGTGGCCTTGTCAAGCTAATTGCCAATTAAGTCTTTGGCAGCATTTCAAGGAAGATAAAGGTGGGTGCTTATCAGCCTTATCCCGAAATACTTTGGCAGCCTACTGTAGGACTCTTTACAACTATTTGGGGGTCATTATGGGCTGTGAATAAACATAATTCACAGCCTCTGAAATAAAAAGAGGGTTTTTTGGAGTAAGCGTGTGTCAGAATAGCACCCAGGGCGGCTCCGAGAACCCAGACCCTGTTAGAAGCCAAAGGAACCACCAAGGAGAGGGAAATATAAATCATGAGGGGCATGCCACATTGTGGAGGTCCCCCCAAGCAGCAAAGAGGAGGGACTCTGACTGGGGGGGACCCCAAATTGACTCTCTACAAGAATGACAGTGAGGGGGGAAATGACATGATAACAAGCAAGTTCATCCATCTTTTGTCAGCTCAAGTAGAGATCATAGTGCCCCACTCGGGGGTGAAGGGGTTGGTAAAAGCCTAATTGACTCAGGGCTCACCCAAAGCTTAGTCAGGCTGCAGGTGGTACAAAAGCTGGGATTGCACGTAAGAAGGCTTCACCAGCCCATGAAGTTCATCGGCTTTGTAGGGGACTACAAAGAAACTATTTGATTCATAGTGGCCCCAAAAATTGCA